TATATATATATATGTATGTGTGTATGGTTGTACATACACATATATAGTTGTTTTTTTGGTGTTTGGCTTACTGTTATGTTAGAATCATTATTATACTCTTAGTCTTATACCTTTTGTTCTTTAATATTTTGAATTGTTTTTAGCTTTATTTTTTTGTTTTTCATTTAAATGTTAAGTTTTGAAATTTTGTTGTATGCATTTTTAATTTTTATTTAATTTCTTTATTTTTAAAATGTGTATAAGTAGTATTTATAAAGTTTTAGCTTTGGATGTGGGATCTATTTTTAGTTGTTTTTAATACTACAATTGATTGCTTCTGTTGTCCTCATTTGTAAGTCGCTTTGGATAAAAACGTCTGCTAAATGGCTAAATAAATAAATGATAAGCTGTTTCCTCTAAAAAGCTGTTTATTCAGCGTAGTGAAGCCTCTCCTCCATTGACATCCATTAAAAAAACGTCCTCTGGTCTCCTTTCCCAGTACTGGCAAACCGGAAGCGTTAGCATTAGCCATTACGTTTTTTTTGCTAAAGGTTGCAGGATTGCCTTCTAGTGGCTTTGGTTATTTGCTCATCTACATGGACCAGGGCCGTGCACAGGGGGTGGCCTGGTGGCTAGAGCCACTGTCCCTTTGCCCTCATCGGCTGAGTTGCCCCTCTCACCCCTCCATCACCCCAGCTCAAGCGGCCCCTCTCACCAATCCCTCCATCACCCCAGCTCAAGCGGCCCCTCTCACCAATCCCTCCATCACCCCAGCTCAAGCGGCCCCTCTCACCAATCCCTCCATCACCCCAGCTCAAGCGGCCCCTCTCACCAATCCCTCCATCACCCCAGCTCAAGCGGCCCCTCTCACCAATCCCTCCATCACCCCAGCTCAAGCGGCCCCTCTCACCAATCCCCCCCATCACCCCAGCTCAAGCGGTCTGTACGCCGATTCCACTAATCCGCTCCATGTTTTCCCGCCTGCTCCGCAGCATCACTCACGATCTGTGTGCTGCTCTCTGGAGTGGAGACCACAGTTCCCAATGTCGTTGCATTAACAGGTGAATGCATTACAATCCACATTACAGTCAGTGGATGATTCGCTGAATTAGTCATTTGGTAGTTTGTTTTTGTTTTTCTGTCGGTAATAATTTGCTCTCGGTCTTCTAAAATAACAAAATATCCACGTTTTTAAAATTAGAATGTCTAATCAAACGATTGTTCCCTGTTGTTGGCACACTTTGTAGACAAAAAAAAATGCCTTCACAAAAAAAGAAGACAGAGACAGAGAGAGAGAGCGAAGGGAGGCTGCTAAAGGCAGTTCAACATTGCAAACATGGATTCAAAGCTCCAGCAAGTCAGCAGGTAAATCATCATATAGAATATTTAGCAGTTTGTCACACTTTAATTTTTGTAATTAAGCATATTTCCCATTATGATCACTTGTCTTGATACTAGTAATCTATAACACATCATATTTTATTAAAACCTAGGCCTATAAATAGTTAAAAAATAATAT